ATGATGGTCAATGGTAATTTCCACTTCAATATGCAAATGCTTTAGTAAAAATATGTCAAACAGTTTTATGAATTATAGTAAACAGTTCTGCTGGAAAACAAGATATTAGAATATAATGATCAGAATATAAATTGTAGCAAGGCCTTAGGAAAGTTAGATGGCAATCTGAATCAATATCCTTAAAACTACTCATAATCTTTGACTCAATAATGGTATTTCTAAGACAGTTCAAGGAAACAATAGACAATGGGTTAAAAAAAAAAAGCACAAAGATGCTCACTGAAATGCTGGTTATAATAACATTTTGGAAAAGCAGAGGATGCCTCTCTTTGAAAAAGGAAAATATTAAAATGGTTAAATAAAAGCAAAAGTGCCATTACATAGACTATTTATGATATCATCATTAAAGTGGTTTTTATAGGTATGGCAATAACATGTGAAAAGTTTTAGTCATAATGGAAAGTGAACTCAGATTTCCCCTAGGGAAAGTGTTTGATAAGAATCTCATTTGGGCTTCAGTAATTAATGGATAAAAAAATTCATTTTTTTCCTTTCTTGATTCAGGCAAACATGTGCATTGTCCCAAAACATAGCATATATATTCCTGCCATCAGGTCTGAGCTCTTGCCAATCTTAATAGCTTTAATAGGTTTTTAATAGGCTTCCTTATTCCTTATATCTATTCTAATTTTAACTGTTCTTCAAGTCTTAACTCATTCTACTCACTTCTATGATAATTTCATTATTATCTTAGAATACAAAAACTTTCTCATTACTCAGTCTTCTACAACTGCATTTTCAATTGCAGTATCACAATATCATACTGTGTCTCAAGTAATATGAAGAATCTTATCAATGCCCCATCACTAGTTCATATACAGAGGTTTGTAAATGTCTTCTTGTTTGAGAAATAAAATCAGATATAGGGCCTAAGTGTCTGATATCTGTAGTCAGAGTCACTTCATTCAAGCCCCAGGTCTACCATTTACTAGATATGTGACCTTAAGAAACTTGTCCTTTCTGGGCCTGAATGTGCTCATCTACAAAAGGGAGATCATAATAATATTCATCTCAGTTTATCATTATGTTGTAGACTGATCTATGCATTAAGCTCCCACATTCAAAACTTCTTCCTTTTAATCTTAACTTGGATTTCTAATCAGGTGGACATGATATACTATGACCAAGGTATACCCTGAGTACTTAGAAATTTGACTTCATATACACAATTTTTATGAGATAAGTGATAATCTCACATTTTCTCTGTGGAAGCTTTCACAAATTGGGTAGGAATTGCCCACACACTCATCGCCTTCTAAAAGACATGGTTTTACACAACGCGCGCATTTGAAAGTAACCTAACATGGCAGAGGAGAGAAAGAGCAAATAGGGGGATCATTTTATAAACTATATGTCTAACCAAATACACTGTATACTTGAAATTAATAAGAGAATAAAATTTAACAAAAGTAACCTATTATTCATACCCAAGTTCTTTATGTGTCATCAGGTAAGGAAGCAAGAAAATTGAAATAGAATGATGATATAGCTACTTTTGACAGCCATTTGCTATGTCTAAAGACTTAGAATTCTCATTTTGTTTTTCCTCAGAGTCCATCCTACCATTTCCTTCACCCAGAACCCTCTCTTATCCACAAAGGCTGGGCAGAAAGAAGTTAATATTACCTGTCAACCCTATTTGTTCACACTTACTAGAAAGAACCAATAAAAAAAAAATAACAAACAAAATCTTAATCCTGAAGAGCTTGAAAGGATAAAAACTAAAACAGTCAAGAAATTATTAGTTTTAAAAAATCCGAAGTACTTGTATTTACTGGTCTGAATGTAAATGATTGCTTCAAGAAGATATGCCTCAACACACAGAATATTTTCATTTCTGTAACAGCAGAATCTTGATCTTGCTTGTTTTGTTTTTAAGTGAGGGTATCCTATGTGTTGTGTTCATGTTGACATTTCTCATCTCTGATAACCCTTCTGTGGGACACATGCTTGTTGAAGGCATGAAAGTATAGCTCGATTCACTCAGTTTACAAAGTGACTCAAAACAATGATCCTTACACAATGGGAGTAAGTAGTTAGAGGGAGGACAGATTCTTGAATTGCACAGGCAATCAAGATGTCAAAACTCATAATCATACAAGTGCCTCTCCTTTGTATGGCTAGGTTTACAGAAGGGAACATGGGGTTTATCATTGTTGCAGCCCACAGTATAAACCCTGAGCAATTTCACAGAAAGGAAAGTGGAAAAGTGTTTGAAAAAAAAGAATGGCATTTTTTTCAATGAAAGTCGAAATTTGATATTATTTTATATTAGTTTAAGGTGTATGCCATAGTGATGAGATATTTATATAATTTATGATATGATCTCTGTAAGTCTATAAACTTCTTGGTACCATAAATAGTTATTATATTATTGACAATATTCGCTATGCTTACATCTCCATGACTATTGTGTAACTACCAATTTGCACTTCTTAATCTCTTCACCTTTATCATAAAGTTCCCCAAAGCCCCTCCATCTAATAATCATTAGTTTGTTCTCTGTATCTAGGAGTCTATTTCTGTCTTGTTTGTTTATTTTGTTCTTTAGATTCCACATGTAAGTGAAATCATATGGTATTCATCTTTCTCTGTCTGACTTATTTCACTTAGCATAATACCCTCTAGGTCCATCATTTCCAGTTTACAAAATTTTCTTTTCAGATGTATCTAATCTGGAATCAGGAATAAATTATTAATTTGAATTTTTTTTAATTGTATTTTGAAGACTTGGTATGTAGACTCTTCAGCTCATCAGTTTTGACAGTATTCTTTCAAAAATCAGCACCTCACCCCCATCAATTTGTATTTTTTTAAGCTGAAAATTTTCTATTTTTAGCCCAATGAATGGTGAAAATTAAAGTAGAAGAGCATTCATAGAAGTGAACTCAAAATACTGTTAAATTGCATTAGAAAAAAAAAAGTGAATAGAATAAGCTTTAAATCTCATGGAAATGATGGCATGTGATTTGGCCCAAAATTAGGTAGCTTTAACTTAAATCTCCAGGGTTTTCTTGTCTCATTAAATTGAAGGCAATTCTACTTGCCTTTGAGCTTCTTATAAG